GGGGGTTAGTTATTTTTGGCGATCTTTGTGTTCCAAATAGAATTAACTTATGGCGGGGACTGATGAACGTTACAGCTGTGGGTTTGTGGTCTGTTAATCAGGGCTTATGTACATTTTTCTAATTTATTTTTTTGCTGCTGTGTTCTTTTGAGTTGAAAAGTTATTACATATATATATATATATTTAAATGGAAGATCAAGGATTTGAGCATTTTCTAAGCTGTTTATTATAAGGTGTGTGTGTGTGTGTGTGTGTGCGTGTTCAGAATACATCATGCATTTCTGCACGACAAGGCGCCATGTGTGCAACAGGGTGCAGCATGGTATACGAGGCCTGACAGCTGGTCTCCTTTTGACACCTTTTGTGCGCGATGGATGGCTATATGATCCTATATCATTTGACCACAGATGTATCACTACCAATTGGGGGGGGGGGGGGGGGGGGGGGGGGGGGGGGGGGGGGGGGATGTACAAGGGAGAAGGGCAGGGGTGTAGGGATGTTGCTTTCATTTTGGGTAAAAAGTGGGAAGTGAAAGAGAACTGCTACGCTCGCTTTTTTTCGAAGGTAGACATTCGGGAATTTTTTGGAGAGGAAAACAAAACTAAAAGATGCGTTTCTGACAGCATCCAGGGATTCTGAGAAGGGGAAGATTCAAAGTGCTGGGATGTTTCCGGGGGACTTAAACCACCAGTACTTGGCCCAGCTATCGGCCGAGGAAAAAAATACAGTAGAAACGTTTCTGGTTGGATGAATTTGGGCGCTCCTGTAGTCGCCCGTACGTTTCCTAAAATCGCGTAGCGTTAACGGGCACGACTTTAGGAAGTACTGGTGGTTTAATGATAGGTTCCCAAAAAATAAAAGGAGGGGGGGGGGGGCGGGGGGTCCTACCAGTATTTGGAGCAATGAAGAATTAACACAGTCCATCCGCTCCGATGGTTGACCAATAAACACTGGACAATACCCTCCCCCAAGAATCAAAGGCAGAGGGTAGACTCGCGGCAAGCAGCTAGGAATGACCTGCTTCTCGATCCCTTTGGTCCTGCATGCTAAACTCTGGAGAAAACGAGGGCCGAGGCAGAAACCGACCCAGAATAGGTGGCAGGATATATGGAGGCAACCGCTTTTCGGCAACCCCCTTATCCTTGATGAAGATGGCAATCCGCTCCGATGGTTGACCAATAAACACTGGACAATACCCTCCCCCACGAATCAAAGGCAGAGGGTAGACTCGCGGCAAGCAGCAAGGAATGACCTGCTTTGCGATTCCCCTCTGGTCCTGCATGCTCAAACTCTGGAGAAAACGAGGGCCGAGGCAGAAACCGACCCAGAATAGGTGGCAGGATATTTGGAGGCAACCGCTTTTCGGCAACCCCCTTATCCTTGATGAAGATGGCCATCCCCTGAGCCTCACCAAAAACTCGCCATGGCTCACTTGGGCGAAAAAAGGAGTGTTTACGGTGGGAGACCTCTGGGACCCCGTGACGAATGACTGGCTGTCAACAGACCGGTTGCAACTGAAGCTTAAGCATGGTAAGTATGTGGGAGACAAGATGCAAAAACTGACAGAGGCCTTCCCTCTGGCCTGGCAGATCACCCTCCAAGCTGGCCCGAAAGTACTACCTGACGACTGGGTCATTAAATATTCAGACCTCCCCAGGCCATCGACAATATATAGGGTTCACATAAATGACAATGGAAGGTGCTCACTAGAAGCGTATGTCCCCCAAGATCCGAGGACTAAGTTCTCCAAACTTACGAGAAATGACAACCTGGACGGGGTTGAAAATTGGGGGGGACTGATGCATGTGAGGGTGGTGGGTGACCCAAACGAAGGACTTCATGTGTATGAGCCTATGGTTCCGGTGGCCATGTTGCCCTTTGACCCACTAGAGTGGGAATGGCCCGGAGTAAAACCCATGCACGTCTGGGATTACACAGTCAAAGGTGGCTACAGAGCCTCGCGCTCCGCCTCCACAATAAACCAAACACTTGCCACAAGATGGGAGCGAGACTCACCCCTCGAACGCCGGTTAATGGAAAACCCGCCTTGGGCCAAGTAAGCCAAGATCATGCCCACCAGCCAGAGAGCTCTACAGTGGCAAATCCTGCACCGTTGCCTGCCAACTCCCGACTGGCTCGTCTCTCGAACTGACCTGGAGCAAAAAGGATTGCTGTCACCGATATGCACCTACTGCGGAAGGACCTCACCGCCGGCCAGGGCAACGCTAGAGCACTGCCTGTTGGCTTGCCCAATGGTAACCCAACTTTGGCAATGGTGGGGCGCTGCCTTCCACTCTCTCACAGAACCCGGTTTTCAGCAGGTGCAGCTCCCCACCAATAGATGGAGCCGCCCGAAAGACAAGCCCTCAATCCTGGTGGTTCTCGTACCGCCGCTGGGATAGAGGGATGGCACAAGGGCTTTAAAAATAAATAAATAAATAATAAATAAATTATATTCATCAGATCACTGTTTCCGTCACATCAAAGTAGACTAGATATGCTTCAAGCCGTACCTAAAAAGGTGTGAACAAAATCAGCACCGGGATGTCATATCGAGAATGACGGGGGATTATCTCTGATGAACAAAGCCAGTCGGGTTCGGAATTACCGAAGACCAAAAATGCAAGATCAGATAAGTAGCAAGCGGAATTCTAGCACGATCTTTAAAGAAGTGGGGAAGATACTTATTCTGATTATTCCACAGATTACCGTTGCGCCAGACCAAGCTTGACTAGATATGCTTCAACAAGATGTGAAAAGACTCCAAGACGGAAGAGCATCTCGAATTCGTCTTTTTCCAGGCGGTTCTGAGAATTTCGGGGAATATGCCTGACATGAAGAACAAAAGAGTACTTAGATCAAATAAGGACTGAGAGAGACTTTGGCAATATCTGAAGAGGTAAGGAATAATTTTCATTCGATAGAGCGTCGTTTCCGGCAGATCAAAGCTGACTTGTCATATTTCAACTTTCAAGCGATATCAGAATCGGGAGGGCATATTGACCAATGACGAGGGACGAGGGGTTGATGCTAGTCCGATTGAATATTACCAAAGGACGACAATGCACGGGAAGATAAGCATCGGACGGGATTCAACATCTTACAGAGGAGGGAAGGATACCCATTCAGCAGATCACCGTTTGCGACAAACCAAACATCGCTTCAGAAAAAAACTCAAACGGGAAGGCGTATCCGACTCGTCTTTCTCCAGGCAAATCAAGGGTACGCCTGACATGATTTTAGAGACAAAGTAAAGTTGGTTAGTCTCGATATTACCAAAAGAACAGAATAAGAGGACTTGGCTATGATTGGTTTGCTTGCGCACTTGGTCCATGGGGTTGTCTGGATGCTTGCACACTTGTCCCTTAACTCGAGCTCAGTGTAGCACACATTCAGTCCATTCAAGACTGTAGCTCGGTAGGTTAACACGGGTCACTGATAAACATGAGGTTCGGGGTTCGAGGTCTGATGCCGGTCAAATGCGTTCACAAATAAACATTGTGGGGATGCAGACTAGGGCTGTGGGCGGTTGATCGCGTGGTATTGGTTACCTTAGGGCTCCGCTTTATGGGGGCATGAGTTCTAGGTGGGATTGATCGAAGACTCTGCTGGGGGGAGGGTTGGTTGACCACCATCCCTGCTGGAGGGTTGGGGCCCCTGCGGTAGTGGATGTCTTAGGGGTCCTCTGGGCTGACGTAGAGCTGGGATAGGCCCTGGTGTCGGATATCGTTGGGGATCCTGCATTAGAGGCTGTCTTAGGGGGGTGAAGGTTGGTCTGTTACCTGCATGGAGAATATCAGATTAGAGTAGCCCGGAGTAGCTCCCGTTGATGATAGAGGAGGTTGGGGGAGCGGATGGCGGTTGTGAACCTGCTGAGGACGGACACCAAGGTACTCTGGAGGATGCTAATAGAATGCCTAGACATCCAGTTGATGACAGAGGTATGGGGACCGCATGGTGGCCATAAGCCTACCGAGGTCGGAAACTGGAGATTCTCTAGGTTCGAATAACCTCCGGAAGAGTCCAAAAGAATAACCAGATGGATCTGATGATGATAAGGCTAGGATCTCTCTAAAAAAACAGGAAAAACTAGGGTTCGCCTATGGGACTTGCAGTGACATGCTTAACCCCAGGGCTCGAAGTGCCCGGTACGACATGGCTCGTTTGACAGTGCTCCAATCAGGGTTGGGAAGTGAGGTGAGAACCGGCTTAGCCCCTGATGCCTATAACCGCTGTCCGGTCAAAGGTCACTAGAATGGGTGATGATCCTGGGTATACTCAGGTAGGACCTTGGGAGTAGGGATGCACTGGCGGTCATGACGATGAGTACGGGKGGGAGGGTGTCTCATAGGGGACCGGTTAGGCAATACATTGGGATGATCAAATGGTCAGGTGCTGGCAGGCCTGTCATATGCCTAGTAGCCAGCCTCTACAACAACGTGAACTTTTCTTTCACAAAAAAAAAGCAAACAAACAAAAAAAGAGAAATTGGCTGCCGGCAGGGAGGAAGAGCATTGACCACGTCAGCAAGTGGGCGATTAGGGTTGGTGGAAGGAGTTGACGGAAAAAGAAGAGGTCTACGTAGCGAAGGAGACAGAGAGACGCCCATATGCAGTTCCTAGCAAGGAAGACAAGAGTCATCATCAGCAGCATGGAGATGACAGACAGACAGACAGACAGACAGACAGATCACAGGTACACAGAGTGCCAGCTGACAGACTAGGTGATGTATTTGGACTCCATTCCAGACAGATTCAAAAAAAGTCTGACGGCGAGGACGAAATAAGAGACGCCCAACACCATCTCTATGAGACTCTATCCCGTCCCGGCCAGAAAATGCATACAGCATGACTTTCTTGACAGGGATGTATTTGGACTAAGGGATGTATATGGCCTCCATTGCAGAAAATGTACAAACTGTATCAGCCCAAAGATGGTGATGCTCAGATTGCGCCAAGTCCCACAGCTCCTGGCGATCAGAATCGTGTCGTCCAGGTGTGTGAACGAAATCCAATTTACTTCTCAATGTTCAAGTTTATATATACAAAAAAGTTGAAAAAACAAGAAAGAACGGAAAAATGAAAAAGTCGGAGAGTTGCGAGACAAGATAGGAAAGACAGAAAAAATCACCAGCACCCCCTGGCCATGACATAGCACATACATCCACCACTTCCTCGTCCTCGACTTGCTCTGCATTTGCAGTGTCGCCAAGCTGCCAAGGTAGTGAGCGTCTCAGGCCCCCTCCAATTTACCTTGTATCTGGCTCCACAGATTACGTCTCCACTCGATCTGGCTTTGATCCTTGGTGTACATAAGAGCAGGAAAAACTATCTCAGCACTTTTTGAGAACTTTTAGAACTTAAAGAGCATCAAAAACTACCTTAGCACCTCAAAAAACCCTGCAGTCTTGAGAGCTTTTAGAACCTGCCTGCAGTATGTGAGAACCTGCTAGAACCTGCCTCCAGTATTTGAGGACCTGCCTGCAGGTTTGAGAACCTGCTTGGACTTTTCAGGACATGCGCAAAGTTGCAGGCTCCTCTGTGCATCCTCTCTCTCTCTCTCTCTCTCTCTCTCTCTCTCTCTCTCTCTCTCTGTGTGTCTGTCTGTCTGTCTGTCGGTCTGTCTGTCTGTCTGTCTGTCGGTCTGTCTGTCTGTCTGTCTCTCTCTCTCTCTCTCTCTCTCTCTCAACACACACACACACACACACACACACACACACACACACACACACACACACACACACACACACATCCGACCAGAACCAAGACATTCTGAGTTACTCGTATCCCCTCAATTGAAGCTCAAAAGACAACACCCAAAAAAGAGACAGTATGCAAAAGCTAGAAGCATTAACATTCTGGGAATGGGATTACCACATAACCTACACTAAGCCACGAAAATGAAAAATGAACAGTTCGCTTCACTGATCTCCTTGATGTCTGAGACTGTTTGTTGAAAACCACCGTTAGGTTGATCGAATACCTTGATGATGCTCATTTAAGCTCACAGAACCTCCTCAAAAGCACAAAGACATGCAATGCAGACACTGCAGGGTTTCACCACCTGCTGCTGCTACTGGTACATTCAAGGGTGTTCTCAACTACCTACCTACCTTCTTCACCGACATACAACAGTCGATCATTACAGCTGCATTTGGGGTATCTTTCAGTCTAAACATAACAATCATGACCATACGTTGTAATCGGGTGACGAAGGTAGCCCCTGTGGCTGATGCATGGTGCACACAGGTAAACATAACATAACTGTTGGACTGTGTTCGTAACACAGAGCATGAGTTCCAATTCTTATGGAAGCAGGTGACTTGAAAAATGTTAGGGCCTGTTCTCAACTCCCAGGAGACTCTGCTCACCTGATTCTATCGGCAACCTCAACAGACTTCACTACTACCGTCTTCACTCGAATAGAAAGCCCAGTGATTACAGCGACCCAACTTTCGGTCTAGTTACAGCGATAATGACCGGGCATTCTAATTAGGTGAAGGCGGTAGTCAACAGCCAGGCAAGATCAAACCATCACCTCACTAACTGGTCGTTAGACTCAACTCTAGTTAACTGGCTGCCGAGTCGTTGAAAATGGATGAACCAGGAACCAAAGGAACTGGACTAGCAGGACCGTCATCCAACCACCACTTTTGGTTTGAGATGACACACTCATGCTGTATGTGCCATCTTATCTGTCCGCCTTTTTTGACATATCACCGTTCGGCGTTTGAGACGTGAGATTACCTATCGCCGCCGATGCACGCTAGACACTGAGTGCTTGGCATCGATGCGCAAGAACTCGATCAGGAGGAGCTGAAGCAACTGGGAACAGAAGGACGGCGAACTAACGGTTACTAACCATCATTTTTGCTTGACAAACTTTCATGCTGTCAGTGACATTTCATGTGTGCTTTATTTATCGACTGCCGTTTAAGAAGCGCGATAAGCAAGCAAGCAAGCAAGCGTGCACTAACGCACCCTGCATTCTGCACTTCACTGTCGCACTGCAAGAAGGGAGTGCTTAGGCTCTTAGGGTAAGCATCCCAACCTACGACAATACAGCCCATGCAATGCATCTGCAGTGATGCGTAAGTTGTTCTGTTCAAACCGGCACAGGGACGACAAGCGAACTTCGTTGAACGGGAGTGCAATGGACGACGAGAAAACTTCTTCGACCCAAGATCTGGCCATGGGGCAGGAGGTAACGAAGAGATAATGCTCGGAGTGCTATTTTTGGACGGCGACAAAACTTCTTGGACCTGAGACCTGGCCAGGTGGCAGGCAGCACCTAAAAACAGACAATGCTGGGTATCATCCCATCACCTATCTATCTCGGGAAAACACGTACTGTTTGTTGCTAAGTAACATATTCTCTATAAAAAAAAAAAGAAGTGACATCTTTCTTTAAAAAATATGCATCTTCCGTCAGCCACGCAGATCTGTGTGCTGGTCCTTCTCCACTGATAAGACTCTTCTAGATGGCCTGATCACACAGCACACCACGCCATTCTGTCGAGATCCCCCTCTGCAAATTTGCTCCGACTTTGCTTCCTTTTTTTTTTTAATCTTGCTCTGACTTTTTTTTTTTTTTTTTTTCCGACTTTGCTTTTTTTTTTTTCGGCTTGAACTGACTTTTAAGAGTCTCTTATGTCAAATTTCAATCTGTGTGAGCAAATCGCCTCTACCTGCCAGACTACCAGGGGACTGTAAAATAGGTGTGAACTCATCACTCGATACATCGTCTTTTGGGTCTGCCGACTTCTCATTTTCACTCGTGGGAACATTTGCAGAGATGGACTCCCCTTTGCCTCGAACTGCTTCCTCGGTTGATGCGACAGCTGTTGGCTGTTCTTCTGCAGGGACCTTGTAGCCCATAGCTGCAAGCGCCTTTTGCAGTATCGGTTTTGGGGCTGGCGGAGGCGACCACGTCGATCGAGGCGCAGGTTCAGGAGCTCCAGCCACCAATGAAGATTGGAGCATAGGCAGCGTAACGCCATTGGGAACCTTGTCGTCTTGAGCATCAACCGGCATGGCATCGCTCGCGTGGACAGCCAGGTCCCCATTGTTGACCACAGGAACTTTTTCTACCACAGACTCATGGGGTACGGTGACAGCAACAGTCCTTGGAGGGCTGCCTACCTCCCCATTACCAGGCATGTCTACAGCAAGGCTCGTCGGTTCAGCTGCACTGCTCTGGGCTTCATTCAGCATCCTGTTGTTGACAGTAACTTCCTTGATTTGGAATGGAGGAGCTGCAGCTTGTGGCAAAGGCACAACCGCTGACGGATGGACAGCGGGCGAGGGAATGCTCGCCCTCCTGACAAGGCTACTACCTTGTGGCTTTCCCTCTGGTTCTGCCCGTTTAGGACTCAATTGGGGGGGGCTCACCTCATGATCCAATGGCGAGATCTGTCGAGGGCTTAACAGGGGGCTCTGTTGATGACCGAACGTAGGCTGTGATTGTTTGCTCAAAGCCGCACTGCTGCTTGATAAGGGTCTAAGGGACTGAGCCACAGCACTGGATGCCGTGCTAGTTGATGCGGTGGAGGCAGTAGGAGATGAGCTTGCCGATGCAGGCATCTTCAAATTTTGACGCCACCAAGGTATCCTGTCTGTGGCGATGGTACCCTCTGCACCTGCGGAAGTGTTGGTCATAGCGCCACCGGAGGCCTTTGGGAAATCTCTCGGCAAGTCGTAGCTGCCTTCAGGACTGCTTCGGGACTGCATGGGCCCAGAGGCCGCTGGCGTCCAGTTCCTGTACTGAGCGCTTGGTTTCTTCTGATTCATCAGTGCAGTCCCCAAGGCCGTTGACTCGGGTGACAGGGACCGTTCCCAAGGCTGAGCCATCATAAATAACATACAGATCAAAAGTCTCAGTAACATGCACAGTGCACACACACAACTTACGCTCTGGGTAAGCTAAGGGCTACCTCCCTTTTTGTAACGGAAATAAAAATTAAAAAATAAATAAAAGAAATTAACGAAATTAAAACAAAAATGAAAATAAAAATAAAAGCAAAAATAAAAAAAAATAAAATGAAGGTTTGTTGTTGGCTAGTGTCTGCACGCCTGCCTCATGATGGAGGGTAGATGTGGAGACGACAAGAGGTTGATAAGCAGAGATGAGCAACTGTACTTCAATCTTCAAATTTTTTTATATACATTCACAATAATTTTGACGGAGTAATAAAAATATATAGGAGATCCGCCCCCCGTTTGGGAGGGGAGGTCAGGCAAGGGAAGGCAAGGGGGTGGGGGTGTGGAGCGGAGGGAGCAGAAGGGAGGCAGAAGCCTATTGGCTGGCATGTGGCAATTTTGCTTGTCATAAATAAATTTATGAGAAAAAAACACTGTCTGTCTGTCTGTCTGGGCATCAACTAATCAAAAGCTGATTTTTGTTTTTTAAGAAAACAGAACCTTTTGGTTCTGGCTCCTACCATTCTGGGCAGCGACAGTCCGGTTCCTATTCCCCCGGCAAGTCAATATGGAAAACATGGGAGACTCACGCACGCTCCTCCCCATTATGGCTGGGAGGTCCGAGTGGACGGCATTGATTACTTCCCTGAGGAAGGATGTGCCACCCCTCACCCCTGCCTAACTTAGCCTGTGCTATTTGATCTGCCTGGCTGTTGCCAATCTGTCTGAACCCAGTCCCGCTCCTCTCAGCTGTGATGCTGTCGGGTTGGTGTGTTATGCTAGAGTGGCCTGGGACGCCTACGAGCCTCTTGAAATCTCTAACATCCTAAGCCCTGTATGCCTTGTTTCTGTCTAAACCTTAAAACCTAAACCCTCAAGCTAAAACCCTGAACCCTTGTTGACTGTAGTGTGTTTTTATGGTCTGTCTCTGTCAGAATTTTCTGTGTTGAAGCTGTTGAATATGCCTATAGTTTCTTTGTGGGGTAGTTTGGGTGGGGGGGGAGGTGACTGAGGGGGTTTGTGCAGTGGTGAAGGTTTTGAGATTCTGGGTTGATGGGCTTGGGGTTATGGGCTTGGGACGGGGGAGCGAGGATAAATGTGGTAAGGGAGGGACTGTGTTACAGTTGGGGGGAACGGATTTTGTTGGAGTTGGGAATTTCTGAGGCGTGTAGATGCATGATGTGGGGGTTCTCAGGTGGTGTCCTGTTCTGTTGTGGTTAGTATGTGTGTGGGTGGGTTGGCTTGGGGGGTGTAATGGGGTGTACGCTGCGCGTTGTTAGGGTTTTGTCCTTGGCTGGTTGCTGAGGGCCAGATTAACCAATTAGCTGGGTACGGACTATATTTTTTGAAGACGGGGTCGTCCTGTGCTAGGCGAGAGGACCCCGAATCTGCAATAAAATTATGGTTTGGCGGGGGGGAAGGGTTGTCTGGTGTGTGTGTGTGGGGGGGGGGTTCTGGGTGTTGGGGACTCTGCCTGCCGCGCCTCACGCGACCTGCAATACGATGGAGAAGATGGCGGCGGCGGCAGGGCGGTATGGTGTGCTGGCGGGGTATGGCGACGGGCTGTGGCGGCGGTCCTACAACAAGAAGAAGAAGAAGAAGAAGAAGAAGAAGAAGAAGAAGAAGAAGAAGAAGACGGGCGGAAGAGGAGGAGGAGGAGAGAAGAGGAAGGAGAAGAAGATGAGGGGGAGGCGGAGGAGAAAAGAAGAAGAAGAAGAAGAAGATG